CCCCGACCTTGGCACGCGCCTAAGTGCAAAGGCTTGCAAAGCCTCCGAGCTGTGGAGAGAGAATCCTTGCAAGCGTTCTCCCGAGCCAGCTGTGTTTGCAAAAACGTGTGTGCACCTCTAATTTTATGCGCGTGCAGACATGCATGTGCACTATTGCCTATTTGCAGATGCGTAGTGCCTGCCAAGATAAATGCATGCTCGGATGTGTGTCTAAGCAAGCAAGCGCGCCACGGTGCGAGTGCGTGTGTTCCACTCCCAGCTCTGCTCATCTTGGTGCCCGGCCCCCTTAGCTCTCCAAGCCCCACCCCCCACCCCGCCGGGCTTCGCTTTTACAAAACGTCTCCCCAGTGCTAGCCGCCGAGGCGCCCAGAGTGAGGCGGACCGCGGCTGGAGCGGCAGCCCCGGCTCTGCGCCCCGCCCAGTCCCTTTCCCCTGCTGGGGATCCCCTTCTTCCCCGCCCACCCCTTACCCCCTATGCAGCCCGGCGCCCTATGCTAGCCCTCCCCCTCCCCCCCTCCAGGAGCGGGGCGCCGCCGGGGGAGGAGGGGGAATCGGCTGCGGGTCCTCGGTGTTTCTAGCACCCAGCTTCCCTCCAAGCCGGGTCGCGATGTACGACTGCATGGAAACGTTTGCCCCGGGTCCGCGACGGCTGTACGGGGCGGCCGGACCCGGGGCCGGCTTGCTGCGCAGAGCCACCGGCAGCTCCTGTTTCGCCGGACTCGAGTCTTTTGCCTGGCCGCAACCCGCCAGTCTGCAATGTAGGTACCCGAGCCCTACACTGGGGGTGGGGTGCGGGGTGCGGGACAGGCAGCGGCTCTCTCGTTCCGTGTATAAAAGGTGGACTTGGGTTGCAAGCGGAGATTCTGACCCTTTCCATGTGAGGGCCGGGTGTGTAGGAAAGAGGTACTGGCCCTTTAAACGTGGGGGCCTCAGCGACTCCTTTGGGTGTGTGCAGTAGTGTTTGGAGTGTGTGTGTGTGTTTTATGGTGGGTGTATAGCTAGGACCTGTGGTTGGTGACCCTCCAGAGTTCCCGGGGATAGGGAGAGGCCGAGGTGCGTTGGTAGTTTGTGCCGGCAGGTCCGTGGCCCGGGAGGGTTATGGCACCCAGGACCGTGAGTGGAGTTTGTAAAGTCCATGTGGGAAGTCGCGAGTGTAAAAATATTATTTGCAGAGCGTGTGCATCCCTGGAGTGTGCAACGCCTCGCTTAGGCGGTGCGGGTGTGGGCGTAAGGGTCTCTCCACGCAGCGTCGCCCTCCGCCAGCGTTGGCAGGTCGGCATGGCCCCGTGTGGGGATGTTTGTGACTTGAGGCCGGGAGGGCGTGTGCCCTGCGTGGCTGCGGGGGCGGTTTTGGAAAGTGCTGTGTTCGAGCGTGCACTCTCTGTGTGTGCTGCGTGCGGGGTGTAAGGGGTTGTGCACGCAAGCGGGGCCAGGCTGGGTTCTGGCGTCCCCCTCCCCCATTGAGAAAAGAAATTTTTGGAAATGTGTATAGGGTTGTGTGCACTTTTTCCTATGGCTCGAGCCCACAACTTCAGTAGGAAGCGAAAAGTTTCAAGAAAAGTTGGTCTTACGGTGAGGAGTGACCTGGAGGTGGCAGCGGTGGGGGGAGCGGGACTCCTGGGTCCCCAAATATCCACCTTCCCTTCTCTGTGAAATGGGAGATGCCAGGCCTGGGGCCCTGGAACCCCTTTCCAGAGCGGTAATAAAAAGCCGGGGATTGAGAGGCAGTAAAAATGAAGTCCAGATGAGAGGCGGCTTTGAAGCCCAGGCTGAAGTGCCTGGCGGGGGTCGGGGGGTGGGGAGGGGAGCCTGGAACACCCCCGAATTTCCCCGGGGCTGGGACGGCGCTCGGAGCCCGGGGACGCGGGGCTGGGGGGCACGCTGGGAAGGGGCGGGCGGCGGGCGCCCTGGGAGTGCGCGCGCGGGGTCACTGAGCCCCCACCAACGCGCCTCGCTCCTTGGCACTCGGCAGCGCTGTTTACGAGATCAGCTTTTTTTTTTTTTTCGGTCTTTTGGTTGCAGGGCAGAGCTGCTCAGATTTAACAACTGGGAGACTGGAAGAGGGAGGTGGCAAACAGGAGACCGTACCGTGAGGTGGGGTGGGGCAAGAATGAAAAGCGTAGCATTTAAAGGGCTGGGAAAGCGTGAACTATTGCCTTGCACCAAATCCTTGTGAATTCTTAACCTTCTCTCATGGCCCAATAGAATGGGGATGTGGGGTATGTTGGGAGGGGTGCTGAGATGGAGAGAATCTCCCAGGAAGGGTTTTTGTGGGGGCTGGGCAGGAGCCCCGTCTTTTTCAGGCCCAGGGAAGCCTGTGGGACTTGGCTGGCAGTATGTTTTTGCATTTCAGTTTGGACCAACAATTTTGGCCTCTAGGGTCTTGGTGGGCCTCAGGCCTGCTCCACACACTTTCAGAGAGAAAGTAGTTTAGACCTGTGTGTCTAATCCAGGGAAGGAAAGACGTCCTTTGGTGTGTTTGTATTTGGCAGCGTCGGTGTCCTGGTGCTGCGTTGGCAGGCCATGGGTGTTTGTCTGGGGGCAGAGCTTCTCGCTTGCAACTGTGAAGCGAGCGCTGGGTGTTGTGTGTCCTCCTTATGACTTGTGCATCCAGCTCCACTGTGGCTGGAGTGAGTGTGCCTCTGTGCCCGCCTGCCTGGGTGTCCTTTTGTGCCAGGGTCCCGTTGGGGTATAGGAGCCCATTGGTAAAGTGCCTGCTTTTGTGCCCAGTGTGTTGTTGACATGTGAGAGTGTCTCCAAGGAGGTGTGTGTCAGATTGTGAGTCCAGGCTTCTCGGCCCTGGGCCTCGCAGCTGGGAGTGTTTACAGCCGGTTATAAAGAGTTTGTTTGAAGCTCCGCACAGCCTGGCCAGGAATTTCCTCAATTTCAGCAATTTGGGCTTTAAAAGGAGAAAACCCCAGAGCCACCCCCCTCCTCCCCTGCAGGGGCCCCTGCTTAGCCAGGAGCAGCATCCCCCTGGTGCTGGGGTCTCTGCCCAGGGTTGAGAAGGGAATCTCAGTGGAGTGACAACGATTAGCCTTCCTGTGCCCTTTGCTCCCAGACTGACCAGAGCTACTGGGCTGTGCTTTAGGGTTCAGGGACGGGAGTGTGCCAGAGGGGTTCCTAGAAGGGGTGACAGTACCACGCATATGAGAAAAGCTGCCCCTGGGCCTGTCTCCCTGCCACCCCCAGTCTCATAATAATTGGCTGGCACTGGCCCATGCCAGTCTGACCACACCCAGGCCCTTTTGCAAGAGAGGAAATGAGGCAGCGCTCTGCGGGCAGGGAGGGCGTCAGCGCCGAGTGAGCACCACCCCATGCACTGGCCTGTGGGCAGCACATGTGCCCTCAGAGGACACCGGGACCATCCTGAAAGGCATTCCAGCCCGCCCCCCATCTCTCAGCACCAACCGCCTCCCCCCGCACCCCGCCCCCGGTCCCGACCCCGGATTTCCCACCAGGTCCTGAATAGACTCCAGGCACCCTCCTTTCCTCCCCTCCTCTCTCCTTTTTCATTGGGGAATCTCACTCCAGCTGGATTCTTATGCTAATTGAGTGTCTGTGTGTGCCGGGGGGTGGGGAGGGCTTTCCTCCTGTGGGGAGGGTGGAGCTAGCCTGGAACCCCTACGTCTGGGCCTTCCTTCTGTCCTTCTGGTGGCCTGGGTGGACTTCTGACCAGGTGGGCTACAGCAGGTTAGAAGGAAGGTGTTCATGAGGTGGGTGCAAGCAAGGGACACTCCTTAGGGAGGGTCTTAGGGTTTTCTTGCATTAACTTAGGCCCTCCAGGTTTGGGCAACTGGTCCTACAGGTTGAATAATTTGTAGATTTTTTTCAAGCCTCTGAAGATGAGCCACACACCCAAAAGAGGTTTACTCAGCAGCCTCCCAAACAGAGGGCGTCCTCCCCCCCACACTGTGCGTGGCATGGGCGGAGATCTCTTTTGAGTTGTGTTAGGGTATTTGCAGGGGAAGTTTAGGAGTGAAGACACGGCTCAGAGAGGGTCCAGAGATGGCTCCCCTCCCCCATCAGCCCTGTTTACCCACTGTCGCCTGACTTCTCTGCTTTGCTACACCCCCAGCAGCTTCTAGACCTGAGAATCTGAGCAAATACCTGTCTCCCTTTCCCAACTTCTCCAACTCCTGGCCAGGTCACGTAGATCTAGTTAGAAGACCTGAGAGCCTTGGCTCCACCATAACTGGCAGTGTGGCACTGGGCTGGTTGCTTCTCTCTCTTGGCCTCAGTTTCTTTGGGTGTAAAATAAGGCTGTTGCATATGCCCTAACCTACCTTCCCAATACCTGTGTCCCATTTCCTCCACTGTCTCTGTGGTTTCTGGGGAAAAGGACACTGGCGATTATTTGGGGGGTGATATGAGGGGGAGAAGCTCAAGGATTGTCTACCCTGTACTGCTTGAGAGAAAACGAGGTTCTGTTCTGCCTCCTGAGCCTCCCGGCCATTTAGCCAGGTGCTAGCCACAGGTGGTCTGGGATTGGCCTCCTCACACCCAGATCTATGGCCTCGTGAGGAGAAGGGTAGGAGGGAGACTACCCGGCAGGGACCCGATGTGAGAGGGAGTGACTAGAGAGTTAAGAGCCACGGGCCGTAACACGCCTACTTTGTAGCTGGGGAGACTGAGGCCCAGAGAATTTAACTTCTGGGATGGCCTCGACCTAGAATTTGGAGAATTGAGCAGTGTCCTGTAGGGCATTATTGTAGGGGGAGATGGCCAGACCGGGAGGTCGTAGTGGTCATTTAGGGGTTTCTGGACGTGTTTACTATGGGGCTGTATATGGGTTGTTGGGACTTTAAATCACTGCGGTGGCGATGGTGTTGTCACCGCTGAGCCAGAGGAGGAAGTGGGAATGGGGGGGCAGTGTGTATCTGATGAGGATGCCTAGAGATCTGAGGGGTCCTTCTTCCCTGAGCCTCACATCACTGCTTCCCTGCAGCGGTGGAGACACAGAGCACTAGCTCAGAGGAGATGGTGCCCAGCTCGCCCTCACCCCCTCCACCTCCCCGGGTCTACAAGCCGTGCTTCGTGTGCAATGACAAGTCCTCTGGCTACCACTACGGGGTCAGCTCTTGTGAAGGCTGCAAGGTGTGTACGTGCTGGAGGCGGGCGCACTGGGCATCCAGTTACCTGCATGAGATCAGAGACTCACTGTGTGTGTGTGGGTATCACTCTGAGGTGGGAGGGACTGGCTGCTTTGCACAGAGGTGGTTAATAGATTGGCTCAGGCCTGCAAGGCCTGTGAGAGGCTGGTACTCCCAACATCCTGCTTCACTGACCCTCCTCCCTTACCCCCAACTCCAGGGCTTCTTCCGCCGCAGCATCCAGAAGAACATGGTGTACACATGTCACCGCGACAAAAACTGTATCATCAACAAGGTGACCCGGAATCGTTGCCAGTACTGCCGGCTACAGAAGTGCTTTGAAGTCGGCATGTCCAAGGAAGGTAGGCCCTTAGGCCTGCCTGGGCAGGAGTGCTCCTGTCCTACCCTGTGGTTGCCACCCTCTTCCCACTGGCCACCCCCACTTTCCTGACCTCTGCAAGTCCAGCCTCCAGCCGCCCTGGAGCCCTGGAGTGCTGTGCCTCCTCCCTGGCCAGTCCTATTTGATTAGCTCCATTCACCCAGGAGACCCCACCCCTTCCCATTCTCTCTTCTCAGAGCTTAACCCTTCCTCTGAATGAGTGAAGGGGGGGGGGTGTTACCGGTGCACATTCCCTGTTTCATGGGGAAGTTAGGGGGGCTTGCCAGTCTCCTCCCCTGCTCCCAGGACTGAGCCTGAGGTGGATCTGGGGTGCCCCCCCTCCCCTGCACCATTGTGCGGCCAAGGCTATAAGTGGATATCCTGCTGCCTGCATATCCTGCCCCCCCTCCCCAGCTCCTGCAGGGTGACAGGAAGGGCAGGATGGAGCCGAAGGGCCTGGGGAGGGAGTAGGGCCTGCAGGCCCTGGGTGGGGCTGGGGAGAGCCAGCCTGGGAATGGGAGCTAGTGTAGGAGACAGGGAAACTGAGGCCCCACCCAGGGTCCCAGGGAAGGGATGCTCCGGAGCACATTAAGTTAGGGTAAGAGGGGATACCCAGAGGGAGGTTCTGAGGGTCTTGATCCTCTCCTTGCGCCTCCAACCCCCAGCTGTGCGGAATGATCGGAACAAGAAGAAGAAAGAGGTGAAGGAAGAAGGGTCACTTGACAGCTATGAGCTGAGCCCCCAGTTAGAAGAGCTCATCACCAAGGTCAGCAAAGCCCATCAGGAGACCTTCCCCTCGCTCTGCCAGCTGGGCAAATACACCACGGTGAGGAGTGGGCAGGGCCCCAGTGAGGGCAGGGGACCATTGACTTTGGAGAATGGGTAGGGGTTGTGTTGGAGGCCATGGTCCGGTGCTGACAAACAAGGAGGGCATCCGAATGCAGAAGGGAGAGCCTGGGGTGTTGGCAGAAAGAAGACAGCGCCCAGGACAGGCCTTCGTTTGTGTTCTAACCGGACCTTCCTGCAGAACTCCAGTGCAGACCACCGGGTGCAGCTGGATCTGGGGCTGTGGGATAAGTTCAGCGAGCTAGCCACCAAGTGCATCATCAAGATTGTGGAGTTTGCCAAACGGCTGCCCGGCTTTACAGGGCTCAGCATTGCTGACCAGATCACTCTGCTCAAGGCTGCTTGCCTGGACATCCTAGTAAGTTAAGACCCGTGGCCCATCTTCTGCCACAGCCTGACCCTCATATGAGACCAAAGAGCTGGTCCACACAGAGATTGCATTATCTCTCTTCCCCACTCCAATCTGGGACTCCCCAGATCTCCTCGAAACCCAAGCTCTTTTTGTCTTAATCTCTGCCCCTGAGATCTGATCCTAGACTTCTGGGTGCCCTGCCTCCTTCTGACTTCTCTTCCCTCCCCCAACTTCAGACCCTCCATCTCTCTGCCTCGCTCCCCCTGCCGGCTTCAGGTGGCCCTCCTTCAGGACCTAACCTCCTCACTTTCCACCTGCACCTCATTCCCTCTTTTCCCCACCCCCATAGCGCTCCTTCCCAGAAACAGCACTAACCCTGCCCCCTGCCTACCTCCAGATGCTGCGGATCTGCACAAGGTACACCCCCGAGCAGGACACCATGACCTTCTCTGATGGGCTGACCCTGAACCGGACCCAGATGCACAATGCTGGCTTCGGGCCCCTCACAGACCTCGTCTTTGCCTTTGCTGGGCAGCTCCTGCCACTGGAGATGGATGATACAGAGACAGGGCTGCTCAGTGCCATCTGCCTCATCTGCGGAGGTGCGGGAGCGCCCCCTGGCGTTTGCTCGGACTGCTTTCCCACCACACCCTACACCTGATCTATCTCCCACCTGGCGGGAGACCTTGGTCCCACCCATAGACTCCTCAGCTCCAGTACAGACTCCCCGGCAGCCTGGAACAAAGTACAAGAAGAGGGGAAGAGCCAGGGGGAGCTGAGGAGACCCCCGATACTAGTGCTGACATAGAGGTCTGGGCAGGAGTGATTTACCAGAGAAAACCTCTTGCCAGAGGCGGGGAAGGGATTGGAACAGGGGAGATGTCCTGGGTGGGGCTCATGGTCAAAGTTTGGGGCCTGGAGGGCCATAGGGCAGGACCACTTGTCCTGTCTTCCCCATCTCTTCCTCTCTTACTCCCCTGTGCTTGTCCCCACAGACCGCATGGACCTGGAGGAGCCTGAGAAAGTGGACAAGCTTCAGGAGCCGCTGCTGGAAGCCCTGAGGCTCTATGCCCGGCGGCGACGGCCCAGCCAGCCCTACATGTTCCCGAGGATGCTCATGAAGATCACTGACCTCCGGGGCATCAGCACCAAGGGTTAGTCGGGAGCGAGCCTCCCCTCTCTCTTCCCGGAGCTGCTGGTCTCCTGGGTCAGGCAGAGACAAGAACAGAGTGGGTGAGAACCAGGCAGCCTACGTGAGCATCCTAGCTCAGCCACATGCTAGTGGGGACACTTGGGCAAGTGCTTTTCTTTTATTGTTTTTCTGCTTGTAAACTGGGCTAGACTTACACCTACCTCCTAAGTTTTGTGAGGATGAAACGAGTTAACACACAATGGGCTTAGAACTGCACTGAGTTACAAATTCAGTTCCTCCGTTGCAGTAGCCACATTTCCAGTGCTCAGTAACACTGTGTAGCCAGTTACTCCTGCGCTGGACAGAGGAGGTATTTCCTTCATCACAGAAAGTTCTGTTGGACAGTACTGGTTTAGGAGGATGCCTGGTAGATAGTGTTTGATAAATATTAGTTCTAATTATAAATGTTATTAAGAACAGCCCTAAAAAAAAAAAAAAAGGACAGCCCTAGGAACAACTGGCAAGCTATGGACATTGGGGGCGGGGGTCCAGGGTCCAGGGGGTGGGGTTGGAATTGGGCACCACGTGATTTTTGAGGAGACAGCCTGAAAGGATGGGACGGATGGGCAACAGGCTTGGCAAGCTATGGACATTGGGGGCGGGGGTCCAGGGTCCAGGGAGTGGGGTTGCAATTGGGCACCACGTGATTTTTGAGGAGACAGACTGAAAGGATGGGACGGATGGGCAACAGGCTTGGCAGAGAAGACAGGCAGAGGCTCCAGGCAGAGGAGCAGTCCCCGGGAACCCTAGAATAGGGAGAGGGTGACAGAGGTGGCAGGCCTGTGCTGGGAGCCCCCAGAGGGGAGTTAGAGGGCAGTCCAGCAAGGTTAAGGTGTCAGCCTTAGGGGCTGTACCTCAGCCCCCCCGAACCTCCTTGTCCCTCCATTGTAGGAGCGGAAAGGGCCATTACCCTGAAGATGGAGATTCCGGGCCCGATGCCTCCCCTGATCCGAGAAATGCTGGAGAACCCCGAAATGTTTGAGGACGACTCCTCGCAGCCTGGCCCCCACCCGAAGGCCTCCAGCGAGGATGAGGTTCCTGGGGGCCAGGGCAGAGGGGGCCGCAGCCCCCACCCTGACCAGGGCCCCTGACTTCCCCTGTCTCAGGGGTTGGGGGCTCCAGGCAGCAGACTGACCATCTCCCAGACACTGCCAGTGACTGAGGGAGGACCTGCTCTGCCCTCTCCCCACCCCTTCCACTGAGCTCCTTGTTTTTGCCAAAGTTTCCAGGGGTGCCTCCGTGTTCATCCCCTTCCTCCTCTAACCGGCTCCCTCTCCAGTCTTGGGAGCCTGCCCTGTTCCCTCCAGGAGAGAGGGCAGAGGGGTGAGCCTGAGTTTGGACTCTAAAATCTCAGCACTGCCCCTCAGACACCAGGGTCCCAGGCTCCCCAGGGCAAGAGGAAGACCCTGCCATTCCACAGCCCCTTCCTCTGCCGGGTGCTTAGGCCTCTGGGAGCAAATAGGAACACTAGAGACCAAAGGCGGGGGGGTAATGCTGCGTAAGGCACCTGCTGGGTGCACGCTGCCTGCTGTGCCCCCGTCCTCGTGCCAGGTCAGGGTGGGGCAGGTGGGGCCCTGCATTTCTGTGGGGGGCCAGAGGGTGAAAGGGACAGAGGCAGATCCATTCTGCACTTCTTTGCTTGGGCCCAGAGTTTACCTTATGCCCTCAGTTACAAGCCCCTCCCCCAGTCCTGTCATGTGCCTTGGGCTCCCCCTGCCCCCCATCTCAGCCATGGGGCAGGAACCCTCCTACACTACAGAGGGGCCAGGGGATCCCTCTCCCCCTGGTGCCTTCCCCCCGTGACCCCCAGAGCAGCTTGGCCCAGGGAGGGGGGGGTGGGCACTGCTTAGCTGATCCCACCGTGACCCAGAGGAAGCCTCTATTTATTTATTAGCTTTTGTTTACACCCTGGAATTGACCCCTTCCTCCAGGGGTCTTGGGAGGGGGAGCCCAGGGCCCCTGTGACCCCTCCCTTCTTCCAATCCCCAGTTTGTATTTAGCTGCCAAATAAGATTCCCACTGGCTCCCCTTTTTCTCTGGGGGGGTCAGGGTGCTGTCCCCTCCCCTGTTTACATCTCCCCTCCACCCCGCTGTGTCGCATATTGCTGAGTTTTCTATTTTTGCAAATAAAGTGATGGAAACTCATGGGATGTGGCTCCCTCTAGGGGGGAAGCAAGGAGCTGATCTGCAGAGGGACTGGGTGGGGAGGGTGGATTTTGCAGCTTTCTTAGGGGAACTAAAGAAATAGGATGAAATGTATCTGGTTGGGTGTGGTGGGAAGGTGGCGGAAAGGGAGTCCACAGGGGCCTGTCCTGAGTGTCTGGGCCTCCATGATCACCAGGTGTTGGAGCTTTGATTGGACTCTGTGAACCTCTAGTAAGGTCCTGGGCCTCAGAGGTTTTTAGGCTATCCCCACCCCCAGTTCTGTATACATGCACATCTGCCCTTCTCTGGGGAGGGGGTTTGAGGCAGTTTCAATTGGTTCTCATGAGGGTCCCTGGCCCCAGAAGAAAAGAACCACGGTGTACATCTAAGTTACAGTGTTTCTGCTTTATGCCAGCCCCTCACCCCATAAGCTGCCTACACTGTGACCCCACTATCACCTTCTGAGTCACTCCTTCTGCCCCCACCCTTCTCGCTGTGACCCTGCTTGCCCTCCACGACCCCACTGTTACTTTCTGTCCTAATACCTCTCCCTGCCCCTGCAGGCCTTAACCTCTGCAACACCCCAACCTCAGCCCCATTGACTTTGGCCTCTGCGCCCCTGGACTCTTCCCCTGCCCCCTGTGACTCCCCATTAACACCCACAGCCACCCACCTTCTTCCCTGGGACAGTGCCTTGCCTACCTGCGCCTGGCTGTCTTCACCGATGACCCGACCGGTGCATGTGGGAGAGAGAGGCTGAGGATGTGGGAGTGGTGGAGGAGAGGAGAGGGGGGAAAGCAGAAGAAGAAAGTGAAAGAAACTAGAGGAAACCACAGGGCCTGTGGGGAAGGAGGGGTCATTGCCATGGCAACCCTGGTTGTGGGGGAAGGGCAAGAGGTCTGAGCCAGTGGCTGAAGCCCACCCAGAGGAGGATGCCCTTCTCCCCAGTTGCTCCTCCTACGACCCATCTGATGTTCACTGAACACCTGCTAGGAGATGGACCCTGCGGCTTCAGTCAGTCCCTTGCCGGTGGAGGAGACAGACCTGTGAACAGACATCACATCCAGTTCCCTCTCAAAACTCCCTGTGGTCAAGTGTGGGCCTCAGCCTCCTTTTCCTGCAGCCTCGTCCCTGCCCAGCTCCAGCTGCCATGCCCGTGCTCAGCTTTGCGCAGTTTGCCTCCTCCACCCACGTCCCGGGCCCCTCACTTAATTCTCACAATAATGCTATGAGTTCCACTTGACAGATGAGAAAACAGCCACAGGAAGGGTAAGTAATTTACCTAGGGTCCCACTACCAGTAAGCGATAGAGCTAGGATTTGAACTTGGGCAGTTTGGCTCCAGAGCCTGTGTAGTTAAGCACACACTGTAAGACAGTGGGCACCAGGTTTTCAGAATGAACAATAGTCACTAATTTCCCCCTCCGACAGTACTTATTGCCTCCATATTTCTTCCTTCCTGTCATGTTCCTATATGAGGAAATAGAACATCAGTTTGGGAGGCAGGCAGACCTGGATTTAAATCCAGACCATCTAGTTGCTAACTATGTGACCTCGGGCAAAATACTTTGTACTTCTAAGCCTCTATATCTGTAAAATTAGGGGGCTGGAGGGAGGTTAACACCTATGTCATGAGGTTGCTGCTGTGAGAATGAATTGTAACATGATGATACATCCAGTACATAATGGGTGCTCAACAGATGAGCTTCCTTGCTTCCTTCGTCCAGATCCCTGGATCATCAACTCCCTTGGCCCAATTTCACCCTTATCTGCTCCACCTTCTCCTAGGTCAGTCACCCCCACCAGCCCCAAGTCTCCCCCACCCTGGGGCGTGTCACTTCCTCCTCTGCAGCCTCCCAGATCAGTACACAAAGGCTGCTGCTACCACCGGAGGGAGGAAGGGCTGCTCCGCAGGCACCTGTGAGTACCAGGGCAGCAGCTCTCCTGCCTCCTCTCCTACCCGCCCAGGCCCCACCTGGTCCTAACCTCCTGGGAAGAGGGCTCTGACCTGAAGACACCCAGGGTTCATCTGAGTCTTGAGAAAGGCTCTGAAGACCTCTCTGCATTCCCAAGATCTCCTGTTCCTGTTCCCTCTTCCAGTCTCACAAGCCCTCCCTCCCCCCACCCATCCCTCTTGTGTTGGTTTCCCAAGAGTGGGACTGGAGAGAGAAAAAGGAGGTAGGGGATGCACGAGTGCTATCATTTGCTTGCTGGCTATGTGTTAACGGATTATGACGAGGTAAGGTTCTCCCAATATTACTCCCCAGCTGCCATCCCTGCTGCCTGATGCCTTGTGCTCGGCTCAGGCCTCCTCCCGGTTGGCCACAGATCCCACACTCCTGGAAGACTGTGGCTCAGCGGCTCAGTTCTGTCCCCTCCTTGTGACTCTGAGTGGGCAGCAGAGGGTTCCTCCTGACTTGGGAGATCTGGATGGGTTGGGGAGATGCTCTCTCTCTCAGCTGCTCAGGGGGCAGCGGGGTATGTATTGGAGTCAAAATTAAGTCCAGGAAAATGGATAACCCCAGAGGGAGAGAAGCGAAGATACAGGAAGGCCAGAAGGAAAGAGAAAGGGGATCAGATAGAGCCCATTGGGGCTGGTGGGGAGAAGGCACAACTTTCCATGAAGATGGTGCCCGGGTTGGAGGGGAGGAAAGCAGCAAACAAAGCGAGAGGCCTGGCCTGTGTCAGTCCCTGCTCTGCTGTAGTTTGCTGGGGGACCTTGGGCAAGTCACTCACCACTCTGGGATTCGGGTTTCCATCTGCAAAAAGAGGGGGTTGAAATAGAAGATTCTGCCATTCTACGGTTAGGATCAGAGTGGGGAAGGAAGTAAAACAAAGAACCGTGAAGAAGTGGAGAAGAGAAAAGTAGCTGCAAGATGGAATCAGATCTCTGACTAGGAAGGGGAGACAGAGACAGGGAGAGACAGATTAAGAGAAGCAGGTGGCAGGTCACGTATCCTGAGGAGGGGAGAAGGGGGTTGGGGAGGGGAGCCCAAGGGCCCCCTTTAGGGGAGATGAGTGATTCCTTTGAACCCTCTGGGACTTTCCTATCCTGGGGGACGGTGTGGCCCGGAGCCCCACCTGTGAGAGATGAGTCAAAACTGGGCTCCGTGCTGCAGCATCCCCAGCCTCACCGACCACAGGCGTGCAGAGCCAACGAGGCTGAGGTTACGTTGAGGCTGAGCCCTGGGCTAGCCTCTCACAGGAGGGTGGAGGCTCTGTTAAATATATATCTACTACGCCTGAGGTCACAGGTGGTGGGGAGCAAGACAGGGGAGGTCAGCAACTTGGCACCACACCCCTTCGCCACAGCCCGTGCAGATCATCTGGTACCGAGTCTCGGCCCAGGCTGAGAAGGATGCAGATGCTTCCCGACAAGGAGTTTAGCTGGCCTTTCAAATGCACTGTTGACGGGGACGCGAACAGGCACAGCCCTTCAGGAGCTCATGTCAGTTATGTTGGCACTACTCACCAGCATTACAAATGATACCTATTTATTAACCCTACGAATCCTCTTCCAGGGTTTATCCTACAACATGCACACGTGAAATGATAAATCCATGAATTTTCACTGCAGCGTTGTTTATAATAGTGAACAATTAGAAACAACATAAATTCCCATTACAAGAGACTAAATACAACATGACATATCCATGCGATGGAAATCTATATAGCTGTAAAAATGAACAAGAGAGTTCTTTATTTTCTTGGGTGGCAGGAACTCCAAGAAAACTAGTCCAACCAAGTAAGATGCAAAACTGGGTGTAAAGTATTCTAGCATTTGTTGAATTCTATTGTTTGATTCTATCATTTGGAGAGTATATATGTGTCCATGTTAGTCTGTATATACACTAAAAGTCTCTAGAAAGATTATAGGCAACAAAAGATAATAATAAATGATGGTTATTTATTTGAAGTTAAGTGTGGAAACTGGGGTGGATGGGGGATAGGAGTGAGAGATTTCTATCATCTTAACTTTTTGGTTTTTTAAATTGTGGTAAAATACACATCAAATTTATAATTTTAACCATTTTAAGTGTACAATTCAGGGGCATTAAGTACATTCACAGTGTTGTGCAACCGTAACTGCTAACTAGTTCCAGAACTTTTTCTTCACTCCAAAAGGAAACTGCCCATTAAGCAGTCACTCCCCATCTGCCCCTCCTCCCCAACCCCTGGCAACCACTAGGCTACTTTCTGTCTCTATGGAGTTGTCTAGGCGGGCTATTTCATATCAATGGAATTGTACAATATGTGGTTGTTCATGACTGGCTTTGTTCATTTAACGTAATGTTTTCAAGGTTCATCAACGTTGTAGCATGTATCAGTCCTTCATTCCTTTTTATGGCCAAATAATATTTCATTGTATGGATATACCACATTTTATTCATCCATTCATCAGGTGATGGACATTTGGGTTGTTTCTACCTTTTAGCTACTGTGAATGGTACTGCGATGAACAGTATTGCACAAGTTTGTGTTTGTTTAAACACCCATTTTCAATTCTTTTAGGGATATCCTTAGGGGTGGAATTGTCAAGTGCTAGGGTGATTCTGTGTTTTAACTTCTTGAAGAATCACCAAACTGTCTTCCACAGTTGTTGTACCGTTTTACACTCCCACCAGCAATGTATGAAGGCTCCATTTTCTCCACGTCCTCAACACTTATTTTCCTTTTTTTTATTACAGACATTCTAGTGGGTGTGAAGTGGTATCTCGTGGTTTCGATTTGCATTCCCCTGATGACTAATCGTTTTGAGCATCTTTTTATCTGTTGTTAGTCACTTGTCTATCTTCTTTAAAGAAACATCGAAGTCCTTTGCACATTTTAAAACTGGGTTGTTTTTCTCTTTGTTGTTGTTAGAGTTCTTTAATATATTCTGGATACTTAACAGATACGTGATTTGCAAATATTTTCTCCCATCCTGTGGCCCGTCTTATCACTCTCTTGATAGTGTCCTTTAATGCATAAAAGTTTAAAATTTTGACGAAGTCCAATTTATCTATTTTTTCCTTTGTTGCTTGTGCTTTTGATATCATAGCTAAGAATCCATTGTCAAGTCCAAAATCATGATGATTTATCCCTATATTTTCTTCTAAGAGTTTCATAGTTTTAAGAACTTATACTTAGGTCTTTGGTCCATTTTCAGTTAATTTTTGTATATGTTGTGAGGTAGGAGTCCAACTTCATTCTCTTACATGTGGATATCCAGTCATCCCAGTACCATTTTTTGAAGACTATTCTTTCTGTATTGAATGGTTTGGCATCTTTGTTGAAAATCAACTGACCATAAGGGATGGATTTATTTCTGAACTCTCAATTCTATTCCATTGATCTACTTGCCTATCCTTATGCCAATACCACACTGTCTTGATTACTGCGGCTTTGTAGTAAGTTTTGAAAGTGAGAAGTGTGAGTCCTCCAACTTTGTTCTTTTTCAAGATTGTTTTGGCTATTCATGCAATTCCATGTGAATTTTAGGATCAGCTTTTCCATTTCTATAACAACGGCCATTGGGATTTAACTTTTTGATTTTTGAACCATGGTAATAAATTGCCTATTAAAATTTTTAATCTAGATCCCCTTTGTGCAATGTACAGAAAAGAGAAATTTTTATCAAACCTGGCCTTCCTTCCTCCATTATCCCAGACCTTTAGACAGTTCTTCTTATGGTCTAATCTTTATTCCTCTTGCTACCATGTCAGTCAATTACAGCTGACTTTCCCTGCCTCTTGCACATACTCCCTCATCTGCTCCAGCTTCATTTCCTCTCATTCCTAATCCCTGACTTTTCCCCCTTATTTAGAGCCCCTGACCCTCTTCCTTTAGAATCCAAGGTTATGAAAGCTAGAAAGGCTGTCAGATTATTTTTTCAACTCCCTTACTTTACGGTTGTGGAAACTAAGCCTCAGAGAGAAAATCTGACTTGACACCAGCCAGTGAGTGACTGAGGCAGGACCAGACCTGGTCTGTTTCCTGTTTGGGTCTCTTTCCACTATGGCTTGGAATCTCAGTGAATAGACCTGTGTGCAGATCTTAGTGCCTCCAGGTCCACTCTCCAGACTCTTAGTCAGGCTATTTTGCCCACTCTGGCCTCATGAAGTCTGCACGCAGGAGGGTTGGGTCTTTTCCAAGGCTCGTACCCTAGCCTGGGATCTGCCCCTTCCTGCCATTTTGAAGAAACTGCTGAATCCACAGGGGGAAGTGAAACTATGGGGAGAGAAAAAGAGTTGGGGTAGAGTTTTGAGAGGGAAAACCACAGGCTAAGTTTAGAGGGCTGAGAGCTTGGGGGCCCTCGCTGAGGACCCACATGTCCCCCTTTATATCCTATTACAGACCATGGTGGCTTTGTCAATGGTCCTTGTTTTCCTGCTGGCCCTGAGCAGAGGTGAAAGTGAACTGGATACCAAGATCTCATCCCCACAGGAGACCACCGAATGGGGGGATCCTGGGCTGTCCCTACCAGGGTCCTGCCAGCCAGCTCCCTCCTGTCAAAAGTGCATCCTCTCACACCCGAGCTGTGCATGGTGCAAGCAACTGGTAAAGATGGGCCTGTGGCCTTTGAACCAAGTGTATGTGTGTGTACAGCCTGGATATATGAGTGTGATTGTGTGGGTACCTATGTGACTTTCTGGGTGCACTCTGTAGTTCTGTGTGTGACTGAGTTTGTGCACATAGGACTCTTGTCTGTGATTGTATGTGTGTGTATGTGTGTGTGCATACACATGCACACAAGGTTCCTGCGCGTGTATGTTTATGTCTGTATCTATGTATTTGTGTATATGTGGAGAAGACTTGTGACCATAAATTTGGAGGAAGCAATGTTCCTGCTGGAACTCACGCTTGTGTATAGGGAGAGGGATCTTTTGTGGGTGTACATGTGAGAACGTGTATTTGTCAGCTTGGGCTGTCATAGCAAAATACCATAGACTAGGGGGCTTAAGCAACAGAAATTTATTTCTCACAGTTCTGGAGGATGTGAAATCCAAGATCAAGGTGGTAGCTATTCAGTTCCTGGTGATAACTCTCTTTCTGGCTTGCAGATGGGCTGCGGACAAGCTCTCTGGTGTCTCTTCTTATAGGGATCTAATCCCATCATGAGGGTTCTACCCTCATGACCTCATCTAACCCTAATTTCTTCTCAAAGGCCCCATCTCCAAATATCATCATGTTGGGGGTCAGTCCACTGCAGAAAGTATGTGACTGGGTCTCTGGATCTGTGTTGCGGGTGGGGCATGTTCCTAGGTATGTAGCAGCCTGTGACTGGGAGGGTAGAAAGGAAGGAGCTGGAAGCCTGTGGGCTTTGGGGGAAAGGCTTGAGCTACCTAAGTGACAAGAAGGATGCTGGGGAGAGGGTGTCTCCCTGGCTGGTCAAACAAAACTGTTCTTTTTTGGGGGGGGGAAATTTTAATTAATTAATTAATTTTTGGCCATGCAATGCATGTGGGATCTTAGCTCCCCGACCAGGGATCAAACCAGTGCCCCCCCCCCCCCCCCCCCCCCCCCCACTCTCACTGTTGTGGCCTCTCCCGTTGTGGAGCACAGGCTCCGGATGCGCAGGCTCAGCGGCCATGGCTCATGGGCCCAGTCGCTCCGCGGCATGTGGGATCTTCCTGGACCAGGGCATGAACCTCTGTCCCCTGCATCGGCAGGCCAGGCGGACTCTCAACCACTGTGCCACCAAGGAAGCCCCAGGCTGTTCTTTTGTTTATGCCTTAAAGAGACAGGGCTCATGGTGTAGCAGAGCATGAGGGGCGCCTGAACTGGAGGGTGGGGAAGAACTGTCTCTCTCACAGGAAGACGGAGAGTTAGATAAGAAATGAGGGCACACTCACTAGGAGGCAGAGCCACAAAACTGAGTGGGTCCAGGGGAAAGGCACATAGTGAATCTGGGAGGCCGGGAAGGGGAAGACTCAGAGTCAGTGGGAGGCAGAGGCCAGAGGTGCCAGGCAGGGACTCTTGGGACAGATGGGTATATGTCTGTCTCCTCCAATCCCCCGACCAGAGGCTGGCACCCAGGTCAGCTGAGAAGCCACTCTAACCATTTCCTTCCACTGTGGCTTCCCAGCCAGTGCCAGGGGTACCAGACACATTGAGAGGGAGTGGGGGGTTCTCTCCTGTCCCTATCCTTCCCCTTCCCAGGGACTGTGGGTCTTAGTCTGAGCCCCTTCCCATTTTGGCCTGAGCATTCAGGGGAGGTTGGACTAGGAGGTCAGGCTCCTCCTTTTTTAATGGCAGTGAGGTCCCTGAGATCTCAACAGGAAGTCTGTGGCACTGGGGGAGTGGAGAGGTAGGGTGTCTGGGGAAAGGGGGCATCCAGACAAGGGTAGGAGAAGGGGCGGTGCTGTAGGAAGTGGGGTCTGACAAGGAAGAAAGTACGGCGTTCAGGGGTAGCTGTGGGGGCTTCCCTGGTGGCGCAGTGGTTGAGAGTCCGCCTGCCGATGCAGGGGATATGGGTTCGTGCTCCGATCCGGGAAGATCCCACATGCCGCGGAGCGTCTGGGCCCTTGAGCCATGTACGCTGAGCCTGTGCGTGCGGAGCCTGTTGCTCCGCAACGGGAGAGACCACAGCAGTGAGAGGGCCGCGTACCGCAAAAAAAAAAAAAAAAAAAAAAGGGATGGAGGATGTTTGAGAGGTAATTTGCACACCCAACTGGTTTTATACCTCCAGGGTGGCTGTGACGATGGTGACTTCACTTTTCCAGGCCCACGCCTCAAAGCTGTCACAGACAAGCAGACTGTCCCAGCTGGGTGATCTGGCACCGACCCTGCAGAGTGAGGTGAGGACAGAGGAGTGGGCTCTTGCCCGGGAGTCAGAAGACCTGGGACCCAAGCCTGGCTTTCCACACACTCATGTGTGACACGGTGGGAGTCCCTCCCTCCATGTACCTCAGTTTACCCTTCTGTAAATGGCTTGTATAGGCCCCGAGGCGAGGGGGCCACCCAGCTGGCACCACAGCGGGTCCGGGTCACGCTGCGGCCAGGTGAGTTAGGGGGTGGTGGGCCGCCGGGCCCGGGGCTGGGCTGGGATTCCACCGCGCCCCACCGACCTCCCCACTACCTCCACCCCCAGGAGAGCCCCAGAAGCTCCGGGTCCGCTTCCTTCGAGCTGAGGGATACCCTGTGGACCTGTACTACCTTATGGACCTGAGCTACTCCATGAAGGACGACCTGGAGCGCGTGCGCCAGCTTGGGCACGCGCTGCTGGTGAGGTTGCAGGAAGTCACCCACTCCGTGCGCATTGGTGAGCCCAGCGGAGCCCTGCCCCGCACCTGCCGGCCCTCTGCCTCTAACCAACCGCCACCCTAGCTTCTGCCAATGTCTAGGGCACACAAGGGCCCCACCTGCTCTCTCCCGTTTTTTTGTTTTTTTTTCAAGAAAGTAAACAAGGGTTTACTTAAGTGAAAGTATGCTCTCAAGGGAAGAGCAGGGAGACTCAGGTGAGCAGCTGCCCTGAGTTTTTTTTGCCAGCCGGTTATGTGGGGCATAGAAATGAAGGGGCAGAATATTCACTGTGCCCTCTCCCGGTTTTTAATGGACCTGGCCAGGCCACGGGTTCCTGACATCTCTCCCCAAAGACATCTATCTTCTAGGTCAGAGCTAGAGGGGGTTTGAGAGACTGTCCAATAGGACCCCTCATTTTACTGGAAGGGTAACTGAGGCCTTCAGTATGGAGACACTGTGTTCAGACAGCTCCCAGGGTCAGACAGTGCCCTAGACGCACCCACCTGGACACTGCCCTGATGCCACTTCTCAGGCTCGTGTCTCCTGGACAAGGTCTAAATGCCATTATCCCTGCTGTACATTCTGCATTCTGCACTCATCCCTCCCCTGTTCAAGATCCCCTCCTTCATCTTATGCTGCTGCTACACCACACACCCGTCCATTCTTCCCCAGCCTTAACCAACCCCCTGCCTGCCCACCGCTGTGCCTTCCTCATCTCCATCCTCCACTTCCCTGAACCTGTGCTCTCACCCCTTTGCCCCTGCTGGGTCCTGGGTCCCGGCCCTCTAGGAGCACCCTCTCCCATCACCTCTGCTATGACTGTCCCCCCCGCCCCCCACTTCCCAGGGACTCCTCTCCTGAGTCCTCAGCAGTGCCCCCCCCACCCCACCCTGCATCCTGCTGCTGTCCAGTGACTTCTGGCACTGTCTTCATGACTCCTCCTCCCAGGCTTTGGTTCCTTCGTGGACAAAATGGTGCTGCCCTTCGTGAGCACAGTGCCCTCCAAGCTTCGCCACCCCTGCCCCACCCGACTGGAGCGCTGCCAGCCGCCCTTCAGCTTTCACCATGTGCTACCCCTCACCCAGGATGCTAAGGCCTTCGAACGGGAGGTGGGACGCCAGAGCGTGTCCGGAAACCTGGACTCGCCTGAAGGTGGCTTTGATGCCATTCTGCAGGCTGCCCTCTGCCAGGTGAGGGGGTGGGGAAGGGCCCTGAGTCTGAAGGACTGCTTGGGGCCAAGATGGCCACCTATGGTTATGCAGTTCACAATTCTAGGGGGTGGTCTTTGTATTATAGTCCCTGTAGTTTGCATATCTATTTTGACAATTTGCTGGTGGATTGGAGTAAAATGTCTTGAGGAAGAGGCATGTTTTCCTTTTTTCTTTTTTGATGTGGACCATTTTTAAAGTCTTTATTGAATTTGTTACAATATTGCTTCTGTTTTATGTTTTGTTTTTTTTGGCCGCGAGGCATGTGGGATCTTAGCTTCCCAACCAGGGATGGAACCTGCACCCCCCTGCATTGGAAGGCGAAGTCTTAACCACTGGAGTGCCAGGGAAGTCCCGAGTCATGTTTTTCTAATTCACAAGAAGGCCTCCACTAGCAGCAACCCTGTTTGAGGGGCTGGGGAGAAGCAGGGAGCTGGAGACAGAGGGCTGGACAAACTGACCAGAACAAGGCTGGCCAAATCCTTGCTCCTAGAGCAGGCGGGGGTGGCTCAAGGGCCATCCATGCCCAAGTACACAGCCTACCCCCGACCCCACCCCAGGAGCAGATTGGCTGGAGAAATGTGTCCCGGCTACTGGTGTTCACTTCAGATGACACATTCCACACAGCTGGGGATGGCAAGTTGGGTGGCATTTTCATGCCCAGCGACGGGCACTGCCACTTGGACAGCAATGGCCTCTACACTCGCAGCCCAGAGTTTGTGAGTCGCCACCCTCACCTGCCCCGCTCCATCAGAGCCACACCTCCTCTCCTCCCAGGAACCCACGCTCCAGCCTCACTGTTCTTACGGGTGATGACCACCCTGCCATCTTCCCCAGAAGTTCCTCCTCTCCATGTCCCCCCACTGCTCAGACAAACCCAAGTCACTCCACTCCCTGGCCCTTCCCTCCTTCTTGCCAAGCCTCCAGGGCTCTTCTAGCTGGTGGAACCCTGGATTTCCTGGGTTGAGGGCACCTTGCGTGTTGTCGGGGGGACTTGGGGTGCTCACCTTGTCCTGACTCCCTGCCCCAGGACTACCCCTCCGTGGGTCAGGTAGCCCAGGCCCTCTCTGCGGCAAACATCCAGCCCATCTTTGCTGTCACCGGTGCCACATTGCCTGTCTACCAGGTAAGAGTTGTCTGAATGCCAAACCCTCCCACTCCCAGCCTTTCTCACTTCCCTCACAGGCCCATTCTCCTTCCAGACCCCCAGAAGCTTATTTCCCTAGAGCTGTGACCCACCATTTCCCTTAACTCCTCACGTCACAGGAGCTGAGTAAGCTGATTCCCAAGTCTGCAGTGGGGGAGCTGAGTGAGGACTCCAGCAATGTGGTACAGCTCATCATGGATGCTTATAATGTGAGGGGCCAGCGTTGGGGGAGGGTGAGGGTGAGGGTGGGCATTGGGGAAAGATGGAAAGGGACCCTCAGGTGGGGTGGCAGAACTAAAAGGGGACGGTGCGAGGCATGTGGGATCTTAGCTTCCCAACCAGGGATGGAACCTGCACCCCCCTGCATTGGAAGGCGAAGTCTTAACCACTGGAGTGCCAGGGAAGTCCCGAGTCATGTTTTTCTAATTCACAAGAAGGCCTCCACTAGCAGCAACCCTGTTTGAGGGGCTGGGGAGAAGCAGGGAGCTGGAGACAGAGGGCTGGACAAACTGACCAGAACAAGGCTGGCCAAATCCTTGCTCCTAGAGCAGGCGGGGGTGGCTCAAGGGCCATCCATGCCCAAGTACACAGCCTACCCCCGACCCCACCCCAGGAGCAGATTGGCTGGAGAAATGTGTCCCGGCTACTGGTGTTCACTTCAGATGACACATTCCACACAGCTGGGGATGGCAAGTTGGGTGGCATTTTCATGCCCAGCGACGGGCACTGCCACTTGGACAGCAATGGCCTCTACACTCGCAGCCCAGAGTTTGTGAGTCGCCACCCTCACCTGCCCCGCTCCATCAGAGCCACACCTCCTCTCCTCCCAGGAACCCACGCTCCAGCCTCACTGTTCTTACGGGTGATGACCACCCTGCCATCTTCCCCAGAAGTTCCTCCTCTCCATGTCCCCCCACTGCTCAGACAAACCCAAGTCACTCCACTCCCTGGCCCTTCCCTCCTTCTTGCCAAGCCTCCAGGGCTCTTCTAGCTGGTGGAACCCTGGATTTCCTGGGTTGAGGGCACCTTGCGTGTTGTCGGGGGGACTTGGGGTGCTCACCTTGTCCTGACTCCCTGCCCCAGGACTACCCCTCCGTGGGTCAGGTAGCCCAGGCCCTCTCTGCGGCAAACATCCAGCCCATCTTTGCTGTCACCGGTGCCACATTGCCTGTCTACCAGGTAAGAGTTGTCTGAATGCCAAACCCTCCCACTCCCAGCCTTTCTCACTTCCCTCACAGGCCCATTCTCCTTCCAGACCCCCAGAAGCTTATTTCCCTAGAGCTGTGACCCACCATTTCCCTTAACTCCTCACGTCACAGGAGCTGAGTAAGCTGATTCCCAAGTCTGCAGTGGGGGAGCTGAGTGAGGACTCCAGCAATGTGGTACAGCTCATCATGGATGCTTATAATGTGAGGGGCCAGCGTTGGGGGAGGGTGAGGGTGAGGGTGGGCATTGGGGAAAGATGGAAAGGGACCCTCAGGTGGGGTGGCAGAACTAAAAGGGGACGGTCACTTTTTGTGTAACATTCCACAGCTTTTACCTACAGTTTGCATGTGGCTGTCATTAATAGCTCATTCACTCAGTCAGTCTTGCATTCATAAATCTTAAGTGCCTGATTTGTGCAGAGCATGGAGCCCTGCTCTGGGCAAGGAAGGGAATTAACATTGATTGAGCTTTTATTTCATGCCAAGCACTGTGCCGAGTACACACACAGTTTGCTGTCTTATTTATCCCACTAAAACCCCTGCTTGGAAACTAGTGTTCCAATTTCATCAATGGGGATACAGACACAGGGAGGCTAAGTGACTTGCCCAAGGTCACAGAGATAACAGATGGAACGGCTGGCACTTGTCCCCCAGTCAAATCTGTACATAAAGAATGTGACATCTGGAGACTGCCTTCACTAAGCTTATAAATAATTCGGAGATATTCTTCACAGGAACCATAAAATTTTACAGGTATAAGGAACCATAAAAATTTGTGTTTCTTGGGTTTAGGTCTTATCTCTGCAACTAGACTGTAGCCTTCTTGATAACAGGGACCATGTTCTAAACCCATGACAAGAAAATTTGAGACAATATCAAATTTCCCAGGACAAACTCAATTGAAAGAATCTGCCCTTTAGACCTTGTATGCACACCGGTTATGTGTCCTGATCTGGGGTTTGAAAAACACAGCCACTGCATGTTTACAGTGCTGGCCAGCCCCTGACCCCCAGCAGGCCTTTGCTGCAGCTGCACTGAAATGCTGTTTTAGAAGCCTCTGGATTCTGTGTTCTCACTCAAGGTTATCACAGGTCCTTCCTGCAGAAACTCCTCCTGACTGGGCAGAATGGAAGGAGTCCCCAGGTGGGCTGAGGGCAGGCTTCTGGCAGGATTTGGAACAGCTGGAGAGGGCATGAGGTGGGGTTGGAGTCCTGCCTTCACATGGTTACTCTCTCTTTCTCCCTTTCCACAGAGCCTATCATCCACTGTGACCCTTGAACATGAACGCTCTCTACTCCCTCCTGGGGTCCACATCTCCTACGATTCTCAGTGTGGAGGTCCTGAGAAGAGACAGGATGAGGCTGGTGACAGGGGCCAGTGCAACCACGTCCGAATCAACCAGACAGTGAGAAGGAAGGGTGTGGGGGTGGGAGTGGGAAATTGAGCAGGCAGGGAGAGACGGAGGACAGGCCCAGGAAGCAAAGCAAAAAGCATGGGGTAGCCTTCCACCCATCCTTTCTGAGGAGCTTTAACGAGCAGCCTCCTCAAGAGTGTTTCTAGGAGATGGACGTTAGCACGACCCTATCCCTTCATTTACTAGGAAGTAGGGCTCTGGATGACCAGTGTGTTTGGTGTGTGCCCGTGCACATACAGGAGCACACATGATCTTAGTTTGATTTCTGCCTGCCCCGTCCTCAGGTGAATTTTTTGGTTACTCTCCAAGCTACCCACTGCCTCCCAGAGCCCCATCTGCTGAGGTTCCGAGCCCGAGGCTTCTCAGAGGAGCTGACTGTGGAGTTGCATACACTGTGTGACTGTAACTGCAGTGACACCCAGTTCCAGGCTCCTCACTGCAGTGACGGCCAGGGGCACCTACAATGTGGGGTGTGCAGGTGAGGGCCTCCTGCTTCCCTTCACCTATATGGCTCCCCTGTATTCCTTCTCCCTTGCCTTCCCTCCTCCCACTGGCGTCTCTAGACATCTTTTTCGTAGACATCCCAAGACTCCACCCTGATTTTCACCTCCTGAAGCTTCTCAGAAATGCCAAACCCTCCCCTCCACCAGAACTCCCCTGCCCCGCCATACTCCTTGGTGCTCCATTATATTCTGGCCTCCTGTCAGCTGCTGGTGGCTCTCCAACTATCTTGAGATCTTGGGTTTAGAGGATTCTGGGAAAGGCAGGTCAAGGCATGGTCAAAATCTATGCCACCCCTCCCCTCCCCTGCCTTCCCCTCCCAGCTGTGTCCCTGGCCACCTGGGTCGGCTCTGTGAGTGCTCTGAGGCTGAGCTATCCTCCTTGGATCTGGAATCTGGGTGCCGAGCCCCCAATGGCACAGGGCCCCTGTGCAGTGGGAGGGGACGGTGCCAGTGTGGACGCTGCGCCTGCAGTGGACAGAGCTCTGGACGTCTGTGCGAATGTGATGATGCCAGCTGTGAGCGACATGAGGGAATCCTCTGTGGAGGTACCTGGAGACTTTGGGGAGAAGGACGGGGTCAGAGCGGCTTCCCCAAGGGTGTTTAGGCTCTGGGAACTTCTCTGCACTAAGGGGAGGAATCAAAGATTCTGGTGTAGGGGTTGGAGGGTATCCGGCACACTTGAGAGGGAACTGGATGCACAGGGACAGGTCAGCTGTAGGCAGCCTGTGGTGGCACGTGATGTCCAATGCCTGTGGGGAGTATGATTGTCACCCTGCGCGTGGCTCTGCCTCAGGCTTTGGCCGCTGCCAATGTGGAGTGTGTCACTGTCATGCCAATCGCACGGGCAGAGCATGCGAATGCAGCGGGGACACAGACAACTGTGTCAGTCCCGAGGGAGGGCTGTGCAATGGGCATGGATACTGCAACTGCAACCGCTGCCAGTGCTTGGACGGCTATTATGGTGCCCTATGTGATCAGTGCTCAGGCTGCAAGACGCCATGCGAGAGACACAGGTGAGCCCTCAGGCCTTGCGCCTTGGGAACAGGGGCACAGGGCTCGTTGAGCCCCTCCCACCCACCTGCTCTTTCTGCATGTGGTTTGGGTGACATCTGTCCAGCTGCTTACTGGCACCCGCTGGACAGGGACTGCGCAGAGTGTGGCGCCTTTGGGACTGGTCCTCTGGCCATGAATTGCAGCCTGGCGTGTGCCCATGCCAACGTGACTCTGGCTCTGGCCCCTATCCTGGATGATGGCTGGTGCAAAGAGAGGACCCACGACAACCAGCTCTTCTTCTTCCTGGCAAAGGATGAAGCCGGAGGCAGGGTCATGCTGAGAGTGAGACCCCCAGAAAGTAAGTGCGCAGGGATGCTGTGGACATGCCAAATGGAGCCCTGGGAGTTTAATGGGTAGGGCCTCAGAACTCGAGGTAAAGACAATGGGAAGTCAGGCTGGGGGTTGAAGCAGAGCTAATGAATCTGGGCAAAAGTGCAGGTGCTGGACCAAACGGACAAGGCTAAGGCCCTGAGCACTAGGATAACCTTGGACCCTGTGGAGGTTCCCTTTGTTTTCAGTGACAGGCAGGCCTGGGGAGGCTGGATGAGGCTGGACACACTGCGGGTAACTGGTGATCAATTCCTAGGCCGTCTCGTTTCTTTCCCATAGAGGGGTCAGACCACACCCAAATCATCGTGCTGAGCTGTGTGGGGGGCATCGTGGTCATGGGACTGGGACTAGTCCTGGCTTATCGGCTCTCAGTGGAAATCTATGACCGCCGAGAATACAGCCGTTTTGAAAAGGAGCAGCAGCAGCTCCAGTGGAAGCAGGTGAGGCTGCCCGCTACTCCAGTGGGTGGGGTTTTCCTTACTTCCCCTGGTTAGGTGGGCTTTGCTTTCTGTCTCACCGTTGCACCCTCCACCCTGACTCGCTCTACTTAGCCGCCCCGCTGCCGGCCTAGCCCCCCTCTGTGGGCTTACTCTGGTTCCTCTGCCAATTCCCATCAGCTCCTGGGGTCCTCCTGCCCAAGTTCTAGGCTGGCCTCTTAGGACTAGATAAAATCGGAGTCCTGGGACTTTTCCTCATCACTTCCAACTTCTTTCCCCAGGACAACAATCCTCTCTACAAGAGCGCCATCACGACCACTGTCAACCCCTGCTTTCAAGAGGCAGAGGGCGCCCCTCTCTGAGGTGGGGAGGGACACTCACTGCAGGGCTCTTCTCTGGCATGGAGGGAATTGGGCCATGGGGTCTCGCAGTCAGCAGCTTGGTAGGGGGCTAATCCACTGCTGAGTGGTCACCCATACCTCACTCTTAGAGTGACACCCGAGAAGGGACCACCTTCTGCGGCAACCTTGCTTCCCTACCTCAGAAGTGGGGGCTACCCCCCCATGTATACAATAAAGAGTCTTACCTCAGAGCACACGTGTCAGTTTGCTTTACCCCAAGGCCAGAGCAGGCTGTAGAGCCTGGGCCTCAGGAAAGCTCTTGTGCATGCCTCCTCCTGCCACCTGAGGGCAAGGAGAGGTTCGCAAACTTGAAGTGCAGAACAGACCGCACGATGTGGGCTGTCTGGGGATAAGCAGCAGTGGGCTGGGGTGGGCTACTGAATCCTCAAGTAATGCTGACGCAGGAGGCCCACAGACCACGCTTGGAGAGACGCTGCCTCTGCCGATGTCTGGCCTCATTCTGTCCTGCTGTGCATGTTTCTTTCCTTCCTTATGCTGAACCGATATCCTGGTGGGGTGGTTGGTTACACTTGGTGGGAAAGAAGCAAGCTACTTTGGCCCCAGTGAAAAAGCTTCTCCAGGATATTCTTCCCAAAGAGGAGATAGTATGTACAAAAGCCCCATTTGCTTTTTATTTAAATATCCTAAATATATCACGAAGGAACATACACTGCACTTTAATGGTAAAAAGATACAAGTTTATAACATTTTATAAAAACTACCATTTAAAAGTGATCTTGTTCATTTGATATTCCCCTCCCCCAATAGCAAAATAAGTATATTAAAAAAAAAAAGAGGATGGAGAGGAAAGGTAGGGTAGGAGGGATTAAGATAAAAGCCCCAGGGCCACACAGAGGCAAAGAACATCTGGGGAGAGGGTTAAAAGTTGTGGCGGACTCCACACCTCTTTTAACCCTCCAATGTCAAGCCATGGGGGCACAATCAGTAGCTAAGTGATGACAAGAGGCTATTGGGGGTGTGGACGGAAAAGACTTGGGGTGCTGGGAAGGGCAGGGCTGGTGGGACCTGGTACAGAAGCCCACCTAGGAACTGGCGCTACTCTTTCAGTAGCTAAGTGATGACAAGAGGCTATTGGGGGTGTGGACGGAAAAGACTTGGGGTGCTGGGAAGGGCAGGGCTGGTGGGGCCTGGTACAGAAGCCCACCTAGGGACTGGCGCTAGTCTTTCCCAGGTCCCTGAATCCCATGTCCTGGTCTCTGAGAGCCGGCCCTACCTCCCTCTCCCTTCACTCCAGACACACCTGAGGCGGCTTTCCAGTGCTAGACCCCACCCAGCAGTGGGGTGGAACATTGGGCCCAGGAGCCTTTGCAGCGGTCTTGGTCTGTGATTTCCCTGGGGTGTAAGTGGGACTCCTGGGCTCCCTGGGCGCTAAATCGCTCCTTTGGCCTCTCAGCTCCTCTCTCCTCACAAATCCATGGCCCCAGAACATCAGCACCTGGACAACTGAGCTAACCACCTGCTCCTGTGTTTCCCCTCACCCAGTCCTCGGCAGGGGTGGCTCTGGTATGGCTCTTTGCACATTTGCTTAGAAGTTCCCTCTCTCCTGCCCACCCAGGCAGGAAGCCAAGGTCTGCAAAGGGCCAGGGCACATCTGGACCTAAACACATATTCGCACACTCAGGGGCACAGATCACTCGTGTGATTCTCTCCACACATACCCCAACTCACCCCAACCATAAACAGATTAGCCGCAGGTGACAGGAAGCAAAGCCTCCCACTTTCAAAAGCACGTTTGGAAGGACAGAATTTTCTAAATGTATCCTAGACAAATCCCAGCCCCCAGCAGAGCCCCTCTAACAGGGAGGGGGCTGGCTCACATGCAGAAAGATGCCCTACTTGCAAGGACCAAGGGCAGGTCCAAGGACTTGCGGTCTAGTTTCTGGACCACATTAAATGGGAGTGCCAGCACAGAACTAGAAGAGCACAGGTAGCAAACACATTCCTCAGCGTCTCCCCCACAGGATCTCAGATGCTGTCAGGGAAGATCTAAAGGGTGCCATGCCTCCTTTCTTTTTCCCTGAAATCCTCACACCTCAGAGGTATGGAGACCCCCCACCTCGCCATTTCCTCCAGAATAGGTAACAGCCAGGAGTCTGCTGCTGCTACTGCCTACATTTTTCTGGGAAATGAAATCACTTCCTGGAGATTGCCATCTCAGATCCCCAATGACAGCTTGGTCAGGTTCACCAAGTCAAGTCTCCATGATTCTTCCATAATTACTCACCCCTCCTCCCCACAGGTCAGGGCAGGCCACAACCTGGGAGTCAACGAAACCCCAGAACCTCCCATAAGGATCCTTTCCTTAGCAGGAAGAGGGTTTTTATTTCACTTTAGAAAATTCATATTCACAAGCCCTGGTTTGGGTTAGAAACATCCTAACCACCAGTCTGTTGAATCAATCTTAAAAAAACCCTCCAAAACAAAGCCCTCCAGTCCCCTAAGTTTAGTTCTTCAGCTTCTCTTGGGACCTCAAGCACCCTTCAGATTTGTTGGGGTGGGGGAGGTGGTCAGGAGAGGCTGCTTTATGCTCATCCTCCCCTGAGCTGAGGGCTAGAGAAGGGTTTGGCTCAATAATATGCCATCTCCAAGCATACAAAAACACTCACATACCACACACACACACACACACACACACACACACACACACACCCCGCCCCCCCGATTGCTTTTTGGGGGGTGGACAGGGTGGTGGGGTCGGAGCAGAGAGGAGCAAAGAGTACAGTTAAGAGTAAAACCTATGTTAGGTTTCCTCCTCAGTTTTTTCTCCGCAGCATCCCCACGCCCCGCAGTTCTTGGTTGGGTAGGGACGGCCATCAGGAAGGAAGCCAAGACCTTGTTCTTTGGGACTGAAGGCCAGACCCCTATCTCCTCTACCTGAATACAGTGATAGGACTTGGGCAGGGAGAAGAGCTCACACTGCTCAACAGTCATGTCAGGGGACACCAAATTCCTTTCGTTTCTTCAGCAGCTGTTACCCAACTTGGGGCTAGTCTTGGGTTGCTCCTAAGAGGGCACAAGGAGAACCCACTTTGACATCCATGACTTCCTGCTCAACATCTGTCTGGCTTAGGAGTCAATATCAGCGAGGTAGCCAAAAACTATCTCCAAGACCAACTGCTCAAAGAGAGAAAGGAAAGGGGCTTCACAGGCCACTCTCACCCAAGTTTCCTCCAGAAGGCACTTGAGCTGACCCCATTAGGTACCAGTGTGGCATATGGGCCATTACAACAGCCGTGGCCACAACTCTTGCTCTTCCCCGAAGGAAATGAGAGGTACCTGTCCACTCTTCTTGGATCCAGCCCTTGTCTGCTCCTGTCACTGTTCTTCCTTTTGTCCCTACAGTGTATAAGGACACCAAAGTAAGCTCAGCTGCCATCCCTGATCCTATTCTCCTTCAAACAGGAGATGAGGTACAGGGCTGTGGAACATTGAGGATCAACTGCAACTAAAAACTCAATTTTGGGGGAGGGCTGGACCAGCCACAGTCCCTACTTTGACCAGGACTCTATACCTCCATATTACCTGTTTCCACAGTGCACCTGCTGAAATTGTTTCTAGATAAACAAAAACAAGAACAGAACAAACAAATCCCTCTCCCCGATCTTTTCCACTTCAGCTGCCAGCTGGAGTCCAAGGTTGCGGGAGCCACACTTCAGTCTTGGTCCTGTACCTTTAGTCCCCACCTATGACCTCAGACAAGGGTCCAGGGACTAGCTTCCCTACCCAGGAATGCTGAAGGAACTTCCCCGAGATACTCATAGTCTCAGATTATTTACAGAGCTGAAGCTCTGGGGCCCGCTGTCCCCGATGCACTCTTCTGGTCTCCTGGGTCCACTCCTCCAGGAGGGGGACAGGTACAGACGGGGTGGTGGTGGGACCATCAGACCAGAGGGGTGCGCTCTTCGGTAGAATCTTCTGATCACTCCCACCACCCGGGGCCCCTTGCGCCTATAGAGAAAACTGCCCGTCGGAAGTCTTGGACTGGCACCCTTGGCACATCCGTTTGTGTCTGAGTAATCGATCTGTCCGAGAAAAACACTGAGAAGAAAGGGAGGGTTAAGTGCCTGAGAGGAGAAACTCAGTTACTATTGGCTAGAGCTGCCTTCCCCACAGGGGAGAGGCACACATCCCATTCTACATCCCCTTGGCACACACAGAGATGGCATGAGTGCACAGTGGTTGAGAACACAAGCTCTGAAGTCTCAATTCTGGCCTAGTGCTTAGTAGCCGTGTGACCTTGGGCAAGTTATCTAACAGCCCTGAATCTGTACACTCATCTGTAAAATGGGGCTAAAGGTACCTACTCACAGAGTGGCTGCTTCATTTATGACATATTTATTGAGTATCTATCTCAAGGCAGGTACAGTTCTTGGGGCTGAGGACAGAGTGGAGAACCAGAGGGACAAGGTCTCTGCCTCCTGGAGCTTTCGTTCTAGTGTTCTATAGATTCAACCTAAGAGCACGGAGCAAAGCCTGAGACCCAGCAAAGCATCCAGAAAGTGTTAGTTGTTATCGTTTCTCAACTCTTGTTCTTGTCTTATTTTGGTCCTGGCTCTTACATTCTCTACAGATCAGATATTGACCTCCCAGGGCAGAGATTTTATCTCTTCCTCCAAAGTGCATCTGCTCTGAAGTTCGATTCAGTTGGTCTCTTGTCCCGGATCTGCTGTGTCCTTGGGAAACTCAACCTCTCTAAATCTCAATTTCCCCATGGGTGAAATCAGGACAACACAGCTTCCTCACGGAGTTAATGTGAAGGTTAAACAAAGTAATGTCAAATATGCTCTCACAGTGCCTAGCACAGAGTAAGTACCCAAGAAACGCTATTATTATTATTACAATTATTTTAATGGCCCCTACCCATGATCAGCTGCATAAGGCCAGAGAGATATACATCACCCTGAGGTACTAACTCTAACATGGCCAGGAATGCTAGGTGGCCCCTTGTCAGGCAGGGAATGGCGGCAAGCCCTGGTTCTTAGAGAAGAAAGTTTGTGTGTGGGCATGAATGGATGACACGTGAGCTTACCTGATGACACCGTTCACACTGGTAAGGCTTTTCCCCACTGTGTACACGCTTGTGACGCTCCAGGTGGTACTTCTGGATGAAGCGCATATCACATATGTCACACTCAAATGGCTTCTCACCTGGCCCAGGTGGAGAGAGAGAAGCGAACATCAGGAGGTATACATGGCAGGGACCTCATTCCAGGTATTTTCCCAGAAACCTTTAACTGTTAGTAACGTGCAGACACCTAATGGGGAAGGGTCCCCAAAGCTGCTGGTCTCAGTGACACTAGATACATACAATGTCTCTGCCTCGTTCACTTACCTTCTTTCTCTATTAGTATTTCTAATACTTACTCCTTAAAATAAACCCAATAAGAGCTACACGCAAATATAATACGAACTATGGACTATTCTCCCCCTTTGAATGTGAGCAAGAGACTTACCAGTATGAATAAGGATGTGCCTCTTGAGGTGGTAACTGCTCCTAAAGGCTCCAAAGCAGTGTTCACAAACAAAATTTTTGGGAATCTTTACTTGAAAAGAACCATTTTGTTCCACTACCACCACCTGGGGGCAAGAGTCAGGTATGTCATGAGGCTATCCCTCTGCCCCCTTCTTGCCCCCATTCTGCTCTGGGTCTATTTCCAACTGCTGGACAAAGTAACCTCTCTGATGCTGTCATCTCCCACATTCCTTAAAAGACCTTCTAAGGAAGGAGGTAGGGTGGGCAAGCTATCTGCCTCATCAAACCCAACACTCTGAATTGACCTGAGGGGGAGATGGCCTGCCCCTTTGCCACAGAATTTCATGCTGCCCTGACCCTCCTTCCCTTACCAAGGATGTTTCAGAGAGGGCAGAGATCAATTACCAAAGTGGTCTCTGGATGGAATCAGGGTGACACACTCACTGGCTATGAGGGAGCAAAACATCTAGGGAGAGCTCCGGGTTGAGCCAGAGAGGGAAGAAACAGGAGGACTGCCCTATTCCCAAACTGGACCCGTTTGGGGGTTACCCCATTACCTGCCTTTTTCTTTTCTTTTTTTTTTGGCCGTGCTGCATGGCTTGTGGGATCTTAGTCTCTGACCAGGGACCGCCCTCGGCAGTGAGAGCGCCCAGTCCTAACCGCCGGACCGCTGGGAACTCCCCATTACCTGCCTTTTTAACAGTCTTTTTTGAATGAGAGGCCTCAGCCAAGCTGTCATCGTCTTTGCGGCTCCGGGACTTATCGCTGTCTTTTCGGTGGCTCTTTGAATACAAATCAAATCTAAATTTATAGTCCATCTCAGAACACAAGACAGGAGGCCAAAAAGCTGCTTTGAGACAACTTATAAATGAGAGTAAATCACCTGCCCCAAAGGTTTAGAGAAAGTACGCATTCATTTCCTCTCCAAGTACCCTGGTTTTAAGGAGCTGTTGTACAGAAAAGACCTTCCTTTTCTGTACCCTTTTCTGTATCCTCTAAAATACCCACATTCATTCATTCCCCAGCTGGATCCCCTTTCCCACTTCCCTAAATAGAAGCACTAAGGAATCAAAGCTGGGCATCTTCTGGCAGAGAGCTCGGGCCACCCGACCCCCAGGTGCCGCAATGGACTCAAGTGCTGTACCTGACTCGAGCACCTCAGCATATCAGGGCTACCTGCCCGCTCTCCATTCTCGGCCTGCTTGCTGGCAATCTGGCTCAGCATCATCTTCTTGCTGGCTGCAGTGGGAACCAAACTCACACCTGCTAGGCCTTCACAAGCCAGGAGACTTGCCTAAGTTGAAAGGAGATGAGGTGTCAGGTCACCTGGCAGGGCAGGGCAAAAACAGACTGCCAACTTCTAAAGAACTACCTTTCACACCCAGCTACTAACATGCTGCTTCTCTCTAGGGAGCGTCCCTCCTCACCACAAAACCCTGCTTCCTTCAAGAGTCCTCCCTAACTCACCTCACCAGGAACTACTCACTTTGTCATCTGTCAGCGTTTAGATACGGACCAAGTGAATAATCAATGTCATTGACACTTCTGTCATTAGCACTGTGCTGGGTAAAGCATGCGTCTATGTATTACTTTGAAGTATTTGTAAGCCGTGTGTGTGGGCATGAGGGTCTCTCCTGTTGACCCACTGACACGGGAGATTTCTAGGGGAACTTCCTTCTCCCTCCCTTGATGACACTCAGCTTCACAGAGCCCACTTATGATTGGCAGACCTCACTGGCGCCAAATGTACATTCTATCGCGTCCTACAAACATGTTTATCAGTAAAGTTAGATTAATTTCTCCCTTTAGATTTTAAATCCCCTAGATGTTGCCAATTACAACAGATATAAAAATTAAAACACTTGGACGGATTTTGGAGTGGAATATACAATTTCTCTCCTCCACCCCGGCCCACCATTTATATGTGTGCATATCCATATTTTTTCACATTCCCTGCTATACATATAGTTTAAAAATGACTTAAGCAAGAGTGAACACAATGCTGTGAAGTGGGCTGCAAACAAAGGCAGAAGAAACTGAAGGGCTCCTACTCTGCATGGAAAGGAGGAAGCTATGCATGCAGCTGGAAGAAAGCCAATTATACTGTAATCAGGCTGCCATCCTGGTGAGACTGGTAGGGGAGGGTCCCTGGAAGGAAGCTGGGAGCAGCTCTGGGGTTGCCTGCATATAGCTTTTCTACCCAGATAACTACAATAGCCTATCAAATCATCCTGTCTCTCCAATCCATCCTGTATAACCGCAATGACAATTACCTTCCAAATACACTGATGTGACGTTACTCTGCTGCTTAGCATTCTTCAGAGAGTTCCCATTCCTTACAGAATAAAGACTAATTCCTCAGCAAGGCATAAAAGGCCCTTCAGTCACACTGCTTGTTTCCCCAGGAAACAACTCCCTTTCCCTAACGTTCCCATCTATCACTATCCACCATATTCCTCTAACCATGCCCCACTTAATCCTTTCCTCCTTAACTAGCAAACTACCTGCAGTACTCCTAACATCATCACATCCTTCTATGTCTCTAAGCCTCTGCCCATGCAGTTCTCCTTGTCTGAATGCCCTGTTCTGCTTGTTTATCTAGCAAAATCCTATGCATCCTTCCAGCTTCAACTTTTTTCATCCAAGCAGAAGGATCATTCCTCTCCTTCAGTGTACATACCTCTATTATTGCACATTCCTTCAATCAACAGATTCACTATGTCTCTACTACTAGCCAGCCACTAGGCAAGGTGTTGTGAATATAAAGATAAACAATAGAGTGTCTCTTCATCTCCCCTCACCCCAACCCAACTAGCCTGGAAGCTTGCTGGGGACAGGGACAATTTTATTCATCTTTGTATTCCCAGCACAATGCCTTGCACGTAACAGGAGCTCACTAAATTCCCGTTGAAAAAAACAAATGAAGCATTCACCAGACTGTTCACTCCCTCGTGCCCCTCAGCAGTTAATGTACCAAGTGTAAACTGAGTACATGTTGCTTTGCAAATGTCCCAACAGGGCCTGTGATGCAGTATAGCCTACCTCCTTCATTTGACTGGAAGCTCCCTGAAGGCAGGGGCTGTGGCCTGTCTCCTTTCCTTCCTCTAGATCTCCCCCTGGCGCTTAATACAGAGCTTCGCTCACTGGGTTGGTCAATATGTTGACTAAGGCAGCATTCAAGAGTGAAATTGCAAACACGCCTCCCAGTGATCTTGAAGGAGGAGGACTCGAGAGCTTTTTACCTGAGCCATGCTGATTTCTCACTTAATGCAACCCAAAAGTTCACGAGTTTCTCGATCAACCTTTTCTTAAGACACTGTTGTTTGAAGAACTGTCACCAAATCACTGTAACAACTCCTTCGTGTCCCTTCAGTCCTGCTGCCATACTGAACTGCCTTTGTCTTCAAACAGAACTTAGTGTCCTCCAAAAGGAAGATAGATGTTCCAAGAATCCCTGGTCTCTGCCTGGCTCCTGCTTACTGTCTGAAGAAAAAGAGTCTTCCAGTCTTGGTTTTCCAGCTGAATTCTCTAGATGAAGCTCACGATCTGTTTCAGAAACCTGAAACCAGAAAGGGAGATGGGGCTGTTAGGTGCAACATCCTCAGGCCATACAACCTGCAGTGAGGTGAACTCTTTTTCTGCCAGGCGCTCTCTGTGCAACTCCAAAAGAAGACATCAGTCATGCAGAGTTTTCTTTCTAGGTCATGAGTTGAAACTGGTCTCCGGGCAGCCAACAGGAGCAAAAGTAACTGGGGCCTCTAGTGGAGGAACTGCAGCAGGCCAACTGCTTGGCTTTGCCATCTTAGAACTGGAAGAAGGGGGCGGCCTTTGGGTCTGGGGCTTTTGTGTCCAGTGGGCCGGCCCGCGAAGCTCGCACTCTATTAAGGCGACCAGAAGTGGGGTAGAGAAAAGCTCAGGGGCTATCGCTGGGCGCTTGGGTAGCAGGCAGAAACCGAACCGGCAGTACGCGCCCGGGCCGGCCCACATGTGCGCATTCTCCGAGTCAGCCCGAAGGTACGTAAACTCGCTGCGGAGGTGGAAGGCAGGGAGGCGAAACCCAGCTCTGTGCATTCCCTCCCATCTTCCCTCCCTCGCGCCAGCCAGCCAGCCAGCCAGCCAGTCAGCCAGCCAGCCAGCCAGTCAGCCAGCCGCTGCGCCCGCCGCACGCACCCGGAGAGAGCCGAGGAGCGCGCAAGGTGCGTGCTCGCGCCCGCGTCCCTTGCGAGCAAGCCCCCTCAGCCCAGCCGGTGACGCGGCCGGTCGGTGATGTGCGCGCGGCCCCTACCCCTCCCCGGGAGCGCCCTCCCTTCGCCACGCGCCCCTCCTCCCCTCCCCTCCCCCTTCCCGCGGGGCGCCCCACGGCCTGCGAACTGCTGAAGCGCTGCCGTCTGCCCAGACGACGCTGCGCTCCCTGGGGCGTGCTCCTACCTGCCAGGCGCGGCCTCCTGCTGTCTCCCCAGCCGCACGGCCCCTCCTCCAGGCCGCAGCACGCCGTGCCAACCCCGTGGCCACCGCTGCCCCCGCCGGAACCGAGGCAAGTTTACAAACACCAACCCGGGACCCGTTTCCCCGGAAGCACTTCCCCTTCCCCCCCCGTCCTCTCCCCCCTGAGCAGCATTATCCACTTCCGGGCTCGCGACCCTGGACGGGCGGGGGCAGACAGAAAGGGGGTGAGGCTGAGGGCTCACCGAGGGAGTGCAGCTGGCGAGTGGGCGGTGCCTGCGCGCGGAAGGACGGGAAGAGGGAGGATCGGAGGTACGGCGCTTGCGTCGTTGTAGGGGCGCGCCCCGGCGGCCATCTTGATTCAGGGAAGGAACGAGGGCCCTGAAGTGTTGGTGTGCTGAGTGTTCGTTGAGCGGTTTTGCTAGGTGAGCTGGTTAGGACTCCTTGAAGAACCGCCATCACTCTCCCTTCCTCCCAGATGTTCTCCCTGTCGCTTCTGAGCATGGAGCCCCAAAAAAAGCCAGAATACTTCGTACCAGGCTTTTTCATGTAATTCGGTCGAGGTCATCTTTACCCGACCTTTCCATCAGGCCCAGATCTGCAGATTCTGAGGGCCGCCGCGTCACCTGGGAGGGGAGTTAACTTTTTTGCACGCTCCTGCCGAGTACACTCGACTCCAATCTGAGAACGGATGCCCTGGCATGGTCTGCGCACCCCGAAGCCTCTGATTTCCTTATATCGCTTTCGCCTTTATTCCAGACCGTCCACAATCTAACATTGGCCTCCTCGCCTGGAAAAAGCCATAGGACTCCCCTCAGTAGGAGAATGTAATCTCTTTGGAGACTTAGCTATGCGGGGTGGCCCGTGGGATCGGCTACATTAGGAAAACTTGAGCCTTTCTTTAAATTCTATTCCCAGCTTTAGGGAGGGGTTCTGCTAAAGATGGGCTATGCACTTAGTGCACTTGATGGAAGGAAATGTCTATTCTATTTAGGTGTGTCAGATTGTGAGTTTAGGAGAATTAACGGAGATGCCAAAAGAAAAAAAAATATTTATGAAAGAAGAATTGCCAGCCACTTTTTGTACACAGATTTAATTTCCCTGAGTGCTCCATTTTTTGAGTAATTGACAGCAAATCATTGTGCTCTTAAGATCATCATAGAACAGATAAAATGGAGCGAGATCATCAGAAATAAATCCTTAATTAAAAAAAATTAGCTCGTGCTTATTTTAATAAGTCCACACGGCACAAAAGAATTAAAAGGCATGGGCTTCCCTGGTGGTGCAGTGGTTGAGAGTCCGCCTGCCGATGCAGGGGACGCGGGTTCGTGCCCCGGGCGGGGATGATCCCACATGCCGCGGAGCGGCTGGGCCCGTGAGCCATGGCCGCTGAGCCTGCGCGTCCGGAGCCTGTGCTCGGCAACGGGAGAGGCCACAGCAGTGAGAGGCCCGCGTACCACAAAAAAAAAAAAAAAAGAATATTTTGCCATTTACTATTCCATGCTCCTGAAGGTAGTCACTTTACAAGTTTGGTGTATATACATCCAGGCTTTTTTCTATGTTCATAAATTTGTTATTTCATCCAAAACATATTTTTGAGCACCTACAATGGACCACAAAAGTGTATTTTAGACATTTTCTAAGTCATTTCACATTTTAAAAATTGTTGCATAGTATTCCAACTATTTTAATTTGTCTAGACCCATCCTGATGAACATTTAGGTTACTTATAGCTTTTTTGTATAAGTATAGTTATCTTTTTGTTTTTCTTGATAGATTCGTAGGTAGGATATGTGCATTTTAAATTTTAATAGATTCTGTGAAATTGAATTTCAGAAGTTTGTAACAATTTACACACTCAGAGCCATGTGTGAATGTCCCCATTTCCTACAACCTTGGCAATACTGGATGCTATGAATTTTTGTACAGTTGCCAACTTGATAGGTGAAAAATAGTAATTTCATTATTTTAAGTTGCATGTCGTTAATAGTGAAGTTGAGCATCTCTTGTTGCTTTTTTTTTTTTTTTGCGATACGCGGGCCTCTCACTGTTGTGGCCTCTCCCGTTGCGGAGCACAGGCTCCGGACGCACAGGCTCAGCGGCCATGGCTCACGGGCCCAGCCGCTCCGCCGGCATGTGGGATCTTCCCGGACTGGGGCACGAACCCGTGTCCCCTGCATTGGCAGGCAGACTCTCAACCACTGCACCACCAGGGAAGCCTCTCTTGTTGCTTTTTGACCATTTTAATTGTTTTCGTAAACTGCCTGTTCACATCTTTTGCCTGTTAAGGAAAAAAAGATCATTTGTCTATTTCATATTGATTGGTAGTAATCTCTGTGTTATATTAACTTTTCATTTGTCATATGCTTTTAAAATATTTTCTCTTAGTTTTTCATTTATCTTTGAACTTTTTTTAGAGTGAAAGTTATGCTTTATGGGAAAATATTTGAAACATTCCTGTGAAAATAGGAACAAGACAAGAATGTTTACAATCAAAACTAATATTCTATTAAAGCTACTGGCCACTCAAAAGTCATTATTATTTTCATATTTTTATACTCATTATTTTCACATGATATATCCATCCACAAAGAGAATCAGTTGACAAGATACTAAAACCAGTGAGTTCAGCAGCATCACCAGATATACGATTAACAAACAAAAATTATATAAATAAGATATGAGAACAATAATCAACCATAAAAATGTCATAGAAAGGTCTCATTCACAATAAAAATGTTACATTATAGATGTAAATTTAACAGGAAATTGCAAATTATGCATTAAGAAAATCAGATTATTTTAGTGGAAGAAAAAAAGGGCTGATTATTCTTTTTGGCTGCACCACGCGGCTTGTGGGATCTTAGTTCCCCGACCGGGGATCGAACCTGGGCCAAGGCAGTGAAAGCACTGAGTCCTGACCATTGGACTGCCAGAGAATTCCCAAAAGGCTTGATTAGATGGAGAGTTTTACCATGTCTGTGAATAGGAAGACTTAATATTGCAGAGACACAGTTTTTACTTTAGGTTAAATTTTTATTAAAACAGGACTTTGCATGGAACTTAAGCTGACTTTTAAATCTGCATGGAAAGGAAAAATTGCAAGGAAAGCAAAAACCGTTTTTGGCAAGCAATGAGTAGGTAAAATAATGGTGGGGGAGGGGAAATAAAGCCATAAATCATCTTTAACCACTTTATTTAAAAAATATTTATTTATGTAGCTGCATTGGGTCATAGTTGTGGCACGTGGGATCTTTGTTGCCGCGTGCGGGATCTTTAGTTGTGGCATGCAAGATCTAGTTCCCTGACCAGGGATTGAAACGCAGCTCCCTGCATTGGGAGCGCAGAGTCTTAGCTATTGGAGCACCAGGGAAGTCCCTAACCACTTTAATAGTGCCTTTCTTTGCACAGAATTTTAAAAGTTTTATGTAGTCAGATCTGCCTGCGGCTTTTGGGTTTTTGTGGTATGCTACCTCAAGATTATAGAAATATTTCCCTGTACTTCCTTCTGGTATTTTTATGGTTGTATGTTTTCAGTTTTATCTTTATCTCAGCTGCAGTTTATTTTTTTTAATTTTTATTTTATTTATTTATTTTTAAATTAATTATTTTTTGGCTGCGTTGGGCCTTCGTTGCTGCACGGGGGCTTTCTCTAGTTGTGGTCAGTGGGGGCTGTTCTTTGATGTTGTACGCGGGCTTCTCATTGTGATGGCTTCTCTTGTGGAGCACGGGCTCTAGGAGTGCGGGCTTCAGTAGTTGCAGCACGCAGGCTCAGTAGTTGTGGCTTGTGGGCTGTAGAGCACAGGCTCAGTAGTTGTGGCGCATGGGCTTAGTTGCACCGCGGCATGTGGGTTCTTCCCGGACCAGGGCTCGAACCCGTGTACCCTGCATTGGCAGGCGGATTCTTAACCACCGCGCCACCAGGGAAGTCCCTGCAGTTTATTTGTGTGTGTGGTGAGTAGTGAGAAATGCCAGACTTAAAAGGGACCAATAATGTAATGGGAGAGGTACTAGCCTAGATGCCAGAAAATCAGTGATCTAGGCTTCCTCCCATGACACCTTTGTAATTTTGGACAAATTAATCTCACTTTTTTTGTCTCAAGAGCCCTTGACTTGAAAATGAGGGTGAATAAATACTTTTTCAGGCAAATTTCTAGCACTACTGTGAGGCTCAAAGGAGATCATAGGTGAGAAGGCTTTACAAAGAAAAAAAAACCCTTTGCAAATCTTCTAAGTTATCTTTAATACTGATTTTTGGTTTATGCATATCAATGTAACTGTAGTGCAGCATCATTTTTCAGTACCTGGAAATAGTTCATTCAAGTTTGTGGAAGACCTTGGGGGAAAGGAGAGGAGAGTGGGAAAGATGAAAACTGACATTTTTCTGAATGCCTATTTCGTATTTGGTGCTTTACTTAAAGAAGGATAAGACTTAGTCCTCTCTTCCCAGGAGTTCACAGTCTAGAAGAGGGGAAAACACTGTACACATAAGAATTGGAGCCACTGTTAACGTGGGTGTTGAGTCGGTGGGGTTTGTTAATAGGTAGACAGCTAGGAGGTCAGTGTTTTCACTGTCTAACAATAAGCCTGGCTGAAAGTGCTTTAAGAAGCAACTGCCCTAATCCCTTTGCCCTCAGGCAGGCGTCCTCCTGGGCGACCTTCCCCACCTTCTTTGGTACACTGTCCCCTCAGGCCCACCCCGTCTCTTTTTCAGGTAGTATTGTAATGATTACCGATTAGTCTTTTCCTGTACCAGATCTCTATTGCCTTAAGGACAGCCGGAATGTTTTCTGTTTGAAGGCTGCCCTGGGCCAATTGAGCAGAGTTAAGCGGCCCTCCCTTTCTTTAGTGAGGAGCAAGCCTTTATTTTATGTGCTGGCTTCCCTCCTGGCCTGTTAGCTGGAGCAGACAAGGCAGACCCAGCACCTGGGGCAGTGCCAGGCATTAGATAGTCAGTGTTTGTTGAACTACCCGAACTTGTTCCTCTCTCTGAGAGCCAGTTAGGCTGCATAGTAGAAATGAGCAGTATGTGGCTACCTTTGTCACCTGGTAGACCTTTTAGATGAGAGTTGATTGAGGAGAGTTGGGAAACCACATGGCGTTATGGGGTCATTCCTTGAGCCT